AAGAGCAATAGTAAATTGCTTTATGTCATAACTGCGAATTAAAGAAAGAAAAAACTGAAATGTTATATTTGAGAAATCATGATATCGATGTTTCGCGGGGAGGCAGCAAGGCTGAACAAAAGCGAACATTAACGTAAGTCTTATGAGATGGCAAGTTAACTACTTTAGAATTACTTGACAAGCTAACTGTCTTTTAGGGAAATGCAAACATTAACAAGAAGTAATTGCTCTGTAACTGTAACTTGTACCTCGTTTCAGAAGATATTACGAGATGCAGCTTTATTTTTCATATCTTGATTCCGGTCATTGTTGAAGTATTATAAAGATACTTTTACGTTTAATTTATTAGTTCAAAGTTCACTCGTATTTTATCTCTCTTTATTTTACGTGCTTTCAAAACATGTTGTAAGTTTTGATAAAACTGTCTGTCTGGGTAGTTTTGTGATGGGAGTGTTATGACACTTCTAAATCACTTTTCCAAGAACGTTTATAACACGGATCATGATAATTTGTGTTTTATACATACTGTATGAAGAATGTACGTTTAAAGATATCATATTTCTGGATGTACATTATTTTCTACGATGTCTTAGCATGAAGGTATTTGTGTAGTTTGCAGGTCTTGAAATATGTGGGTTGTGGATGCTTCTCGGTGAATTGCAGATTACAGATGTCCCTGGATGATCTAAAAGCCTTCTTGTGCTAGAGGTTCAAAATGCACCACGTAGGTTTTAGTGCTTCTGGTTAAGCTGTTGAATTATTCCTATGAGATATTTCTCGCTAAGTTGATATTCTTGTGGTAGAGTGACCTGTTAGTCCTAATAGTTGGGTGGTAGAGTGACCTGTTAGTTCTAATAGTTATGTGGTAGAGTGACCTGTTAGTCCTAATAGTTGGGTGGTAGAGTGACCTGTTAGTTCTAATAGTTATGTGGTAGAGTGACCTGTTAGTCCTAATAGTTGTATGGTAGAGTGACTTGTTAGTTCTAATAGTTGGGTGGTGGAGTGACCTGTTAGTTCTGATAGTTGTGTGGTAGAGTGACCTGTTAGTTCTGATAGTTGTGTAGTAGAGTGATCTTCTGGCTCTAACAGTTGGGCAGTAGAGTGACCTGTTAGTTCTGATAGTTGTGTGGTAGAGTGACCTGTTAGTTCTGATAGTTGTGTGGTAGAGTGACCTGTTATTTCTGATGGTTGTGTGGTAGAGTGATCTTCTGGCTCTAACAGATGGGCAGTAGAGTGACCTGTTAGTTCTGATAGTTGTGTGGTAGAGTGATCTTCTGGCTCTAACAGATGGGCAGTAAAGTGACCTATTAGTTCTAACAGCTGAGTGGTAGAATAACATTTTAGTTCTGATAGTTGGGTGGTAGCGTGACTTGTTGGTTCTCACAGCTCTTTTTGCGTGAATAGTAAAATATTTGAAGTAGATTATGAATTACGGATGGAAAAATAATACGAAAGTCTCATTAAGTAAGCTTGATGTGTGGTCTTAGTAAGTAAGCTTGATGTGTGGTTTTAGTAAGTAAGCTTGATGTGTGGTCTTTGTAAGCTTTATATATGGTCTTAGTAAGTAAGCTTGATGTGTGGTCTTTGTAAGTAAGCTTTATATATGATCTTAGTAAGTAAACTTTATATGTGGTCTTTGTAATTAAGCTTTATATATGGTCTTAGTAAGTAAGCTTGATATGTAGTTTTAATAAGTAAGCTTGATGTATGGTCTTAGTAAGTAAACTTAATATGGGATTTAAGTAAGTAAGCTTTATATGTGATCTTAGTAAGTAATCTATATATGTGGTTTTAGTAAGTAAGCTTGATATGTGATCTTAGTAAGTAAGCTTGATATGTGGTTTTAGTAAGTAAGCTTGATATGGGATTTTAGTAAGTAAGCTTGATATGTGATCTTAGTAAGTAATCTATATATGTGGTTTTAGTAAGTAAGCTTGATATGGGATTTTAGTAAGTAAGCTTGATATGTGATCTTAGTAAGTAAGCTTGATATGTGGTTTTAGTAAGTAAGCTTGATATGGGATCTTAGTAAGTAAGCTTGATATGTGGTTTTAGTAAGTAAGCTTGATGTATGGTTTTAGTAAGTAAACTTAATATGGGATCTTAGTAAGTAAGCTTGATATGTAGATTTGTTTATGCTTTGCAGTATTTTATACCACAAAGCTATGATCCCAGCAAAAGAAACTTGCCGAAACACAAGTTTGATAGTGTATTTTACACCTGGATAATATCGTTTGTTAATGCACTAAAGGAAAAAATACAACTTGCAACTAAATGTTATTAGTAAAAGGGAATTTATCTAATTTCTTCCTAAACAGAAGGGTTAGAGATCTCGAAGGAATTTTTGACTGAAATTATCTTGTTTTGTAATCCTTTGAACATTAATGCCACCATGTTTCTCAGCAGAACAAAATGACTCGGTTAGACTCTTCTCTCCCATTTTATCTTTCCCCCCTTTAAGTGCTAATTTAGATCCTTTGGCTGCTTAAATAGCTTCCTGCAAATATATGTGACTAATACATCTCATTCAGGAAGCAACAACCAATAATTAAATCAACACCGTGCTTACTTGCTACCTTGTTAATATTATGTTTTAACCATTCTAATGATAATTCACATATTAACAAAGTGAACTAGGTTCTTTGAAATCTAACATTCTCAGATCACAATAGTATATGAACTTAGATTAAAAAAAATACGTTTTCTTTACAGTAAAATTAATCATTTCAAGGCCTTTATGAAACTTTTGTTATATAAACGTTTCACCTGACCGAAAATTAAGAGTTTCTTGCCATTTTTTACTTCAGACAAAAGGGCGTACTTGTCTGCTCTTACGGACCAAAACTTCAATAAACTCGAATGGACTAAGTAGGGATTCTGAAGTGTTGGAGTTAGGCGTGTCCAAATACATCATGTGTGTAACGTCCCCTCGATCTTATGATTTTTAAATGTAGTGGGTAATTTATTAAACGCCATTTCCGATTACACGATAAATAGTATTTATCAATTATTATTTGCTACAAAAGTTAGCTTTTATTGGCTTAGTGATTATTATTTCTTAACTAAATCATTGATTGAAACAAATGTATGTTATGTTTCTTTGTTGTTAAGCGCAAAGCTACACAATGGACAAGCTGTGCTGTGGCCATTACAAGTATCGAAACCCGAGTCCCCTGCTGGGACAGCGGTAAGTCTCCGGGTTTACAACGCTAAAATCAGGGGTTCGATTCCCCTCGATGGACACAGCAGATAGCCCGATGTGGCTTTGCTATAAGAAAAACACACACTCGAAACCCGATTTTTAGTGTTATAAGCCTTCAGACTTACCACTGAGCAAACTTATGTATTTTCTGTTCCTCATTTCTTAAGTTTCCATTCCTAGCTGGAAGCTAAACATTAAAAACTCGCATACACTTGTCATAGCAAACGATGTGCTACTTTTAATTGACATTTGTTTAGAGGCGCTCGACTCGCAATCTGCGGGTCGCGGGTTCGAATCCCCGTCACACCAAACATGCTCGCCCTTTCAGCCGTGGGGGCGTTATAATATGACGCTATTCGCTGGTAAAAGAGTAGCCCAAGAATTGGCGGTGGGTGGTGATGACTAGCTGCCTTCCCTCTAGTCTTACGCTGCTATATTAACGAGGGCTAGTGCAGATAGCCCTCGTGTAGCTTTGCGCGAAATTCATAACAAACAATAAGATTAAATACTTCTTTTTTTAAAGATATTTTTAAGTTATTGTCCTATTTTGAAGATTTGAAAAATGTCATGTTCTTAAGTTGGTTTATTAGCAGACACAGACTATGTGAATCCTATTATAACTACTGGACTTAGATATAGGAGTAAATAACTCTGTCAAAACTTATTTGAATAGAGAATTCATTATATCTTGATTTAACCGCTATGCTGGCCATTAGAACGTAACGATTTAAACACGGAATACTGAAAAGATTCACCGACTTTAATCACCATTAATTTATTTGTATAACTTATCTTCACACAAATACATCACGATAAATTAACGATTTTACCCGGTTCGTTAATAATACTATAGCATTAAAGCTCCAATGAGCAAAAATCAAATGTTTAAAGCTAAAGGCAAATGGACAACATCTTGTGTTTTATCCCGTTTTTTTTTATTAATTAAGTCATTCTTACCGTGCATATGTATATTAAAAGCCCAAAAAACCTTCGGAAAAAATCGGATATATAAGGTTTAATGTTTTGATTTTTCGAATACAAATGTTTTTCGAAGTTCACTGGTGTGGCGATGCAGTATCTACTGATTCAAAACTATATCCTATTTTGATATCTTTTAGTATTTGAGCGTTCGTTTTTCTTCTAAAACACGATCATATGTTAAAGTAGCAATATTTGATATTTTCGTTTTTCATACATGAAACGTTTTTCTCCGTTTCAACTTTCGTGTATTTAGTTTCTTTAGGTATGAATGCGTAAAATAATAATGTTGTGTGTATTTCATATTTCCGAGACAACACCTCGGAAACAAAATACCTGATCTTCTTAATTTTATAATTATTAGGTTATAAAATATGAACATGTTAAAATGTAACTATATATTTATCTCACCAGATGGCGCTCCGTTAGAATAAATATTAAAGTCCTTTTAATGCTTGACAGCTTCTGAATTATGCATGTAATATCATGTTTAGAGCTATTACACTAAAATTAATACGTTAGTCATTTGAAAGGTGATTTGCTAGAAACTTCAATGTAATAAACAGTATGTAGTCAACTAATATGCAACATTAATGAGAAAAATATTGAAATTTATACCAGATGATCAGATTAATAATGAAACTATTGTTTATATCTAAAGACTAGTTATGTAGATACTGATCATTGAAATGGTGAAAGGCAAGCATCTTCTCATACAGACATATAAGAGAATAGTTTGTTAAAATAGTTTAATAATTGAGTATGTTTGTACATTAGATTATTGAATCATAGTTTTCTTTTCTTTTAAACATGGGTTTAGGACACATTACCACAAAATGTTCTTGAGTCGACTTAGTCTTGGCCTGCTGTTCCTTCTTGTCACCATGGCACTCGTAGAAGCCCTCGATTGTAGGTATGTAGTCTCAGCGATAACTTAAAATTGTTGTAGGTATGTTGTCTCAGTGACAATTTAAAATTGTTGTAGGTATGTAGTCTCAGCGATAACTTAAAATTGTTGTAGGTATGTAGTCTCAGCGATAATTTAAAATTGTTGTAGGTATGTAGTCTCAGTGACAACTTAAAATTGTTGTAGGTATGTAGTCTCAGTGACAACTTAATCTTTTTGTAGGTTTGTAGTCTCAGTGACAACTTAATCTTTTTGTAGGTATGTAGTCTCAGTGACAACTTAAAATTGTTGTAGGTATGTAGTCTCAGCGATAACTTAAAATTGTTGTAGGTATGTAGTCTCAGCGATAACTTAAAATTGTTGTAGGTATGTAGTCTCAGCGATAATTTAAAATTGTTGTAGGTATGTAGTCTCAGTGACAACTTAAAATTGTTGTAGGTATGTAGTCTCAGTGACAACTTAATCTTTTTGTAGGTATGTAGTCTCAGTGACAACTTAATCTTTTTGTAGGTATGTAGTCTCAGCGATAACTTAAAATTGTTGTAGGTATGTAGTCTCAGCGATAACTTAAAATTGTTGTAGGTATGTAGTCTCAGCGATAACTTAAAATTGTTGAAGTTACTTAAGGTTAGTGATAACTTAAGATTGTTTTAAATATGTACCTTTAGTGACAACGCACAATTATTGTAGGTATGTAGTCTCGGTGACAACTTAAAATTATTAGGACCTCAGGTGTGAACTACTTAAATCTCAGCTCGATTTTTACCATGTCGATTTGTATGGCCAATAAAATCTTACAGTCGTATGATGTAGTGTCATTAACGAAATATATAGTTACATTTTAGATAATCTATTTTAGCCACGACCACTTAGACCTAGTGAATTATCATTATTAAAACATTAGATGTTGTTTTAGCATTAATTAATATTAATTTCTGAGCCGAGGAAGCTATGTACTTAGAGTGAAACCAAAAATCAACCTAGCAGTCAATGTGGCTAATTAAGTATACGTTTCTACTTATAAAAGCTAGAATGGGTTGTTTCATCAGTTGTGTACCGATATTTCGCCTGTGATGATGATAGAGACACGAAAATATATAAAATCCACATTGCTTAATCTTACGTACCTAAAACACCACATAAATAACCCTCAGTTTTATAATTTCAGTCTTAGCGTCCAGTGTATAACAACACCATTCTATTTAGTTTATATATTTTTAGGACTGCTACAAATGTAACATTAAAATCGAACTAGGTTAACAGTTTATTGCCCCCCCCAGTGGCACAGCGGTATGTCTGCGGACTTGCAACGCTATAATCCGGGTTTCAATACCTGTGGTGAACAGAGCACAGATAGCCCATTGTGTAGCTTTGTGCTTAATTACAAACAAACAGTTTATTGAGAGATTATACACTTATGTCTTTACTTGCGCAGCCCAGCGACTGAATGGTAAGCCTGAGGGCTTACAACTTTAAAAACCAGGTTTCAATATCCGCGGTGGGCACATATAGTCTATTGTGTTACTTTGTAATTAATAACGAACTAACAACTTCTATAGGTATTTGAAAATAGGTTTCATTTTTTTTGTGAGTGTAAAACGTTTAAAGACACCATTTCGATTTTCGATACCTCACTACTATAAAGGCTTGGTTTGGTCTGAAGTTTCATTCGGTTGCCGTGTCCAGGGTCACTGATGAGTAGTGGAATTCTCGGAAACTAGCCTTGCTCACAGACACACCCTCCCAATGAAAGAATAGACCATTCCAAGCTTTTACTTGTTGTTAAACAAATGTTTAAACAACTCTATTGAACTAACAACTTGTTTAAATATCCAATATCAATGTAGGCTTAGCTACTTAAACTATTTAGTGCTCTTACAAGAATATATTGGTACTACGAAACTAGCTCGACGAATTATAATTTTTGTGTTGTTGAAAATTAAAACTGACGAATAAAAAAAAAGGAAAAGAAATAAAGAATGTAACTTTTCCTGAAAAACAAAATGGCCTTATAAATACAGAGCTTGGATCGACCATTAAATTAACACTTATTGTTAACTTTGGTGTGGGAATGACTCCTTACATCCTATTTCATAAACTAATCAGTTTATTATGGTATCAGTAAGAGTAAAATACAGTACAATTTCGTCCCCTCTCTCTTTTTGTCATAATGGGACACAATTTGTTGTTAACTTCACCATGTGTGGAACTCTGTATTCGGAGGCCAGACGTGGATAAGTGGTTATTGTGCCATGCTGTGAATGCAAAGATCAACGGCTCGCGTCCCGTTACCGCAAATAATAATGATAATAACTTGTGCTCCGCATTTCGAGGCTGTAGATGCGTTATAAGTGTGACGATCAAAGCCCACTACTCGGTTAGAGTAGCCCGAGAGTTGGCGGTTGTTGCCGTTCACTAAAGTTAGGGACCGTACTTGTGTACTTTTTTGTGAATATCGGAAACGAACAAATCAGAAAAAAATAAGCGCTTTTAATTATTTTACTTACACATATTTACAGTTTCTAGGTGTCATCTTTATTACAGATACCTAAACAACCTGTTACTGAATCGTTCTGGGTTGCCAAGTAATATATTCCAGAACTTAAAATTCGTGAGTTAAGAAATGGTATGTGGTAACTTTAAATGAAGGAGAACAATTAGGAGGGAAATCTCGTCTATAATTTTCTTACTTGTCACACTGCGTTTTGTGACTTAGGTTGATGAGCACCAAGCTTTCAAATATATGACGAGTTTTGTTCCAGAAGAGATATTTCGAGTGTAGGGTAAAATTTCGGTCATATTTAGAAGAGGTTTTACTATTGTTATGGTCTTCGAAAATATTAGGTGTAGTTAATCATATTAGATTGAAAATAAACCAAATGAAATTTTACGCTTATTTTATGTAACAAACAAACACGCCTGAGGAATTAGATTCATGCGTGCTCTGCTCACACATTAGCTTTTAACTTCTTGGTAAATATACATGTTTAATTCTCTTTGTTACAGCATACAGGCTAATTTCATATATTACAGTTGAAGCTCTTAACTCACTTTCTCTTTTTCTTTTGTGTGTTAAACGCTTAGTTTTACAATGTGTTTTTTTGAAACAGCACAATAAGTTATTTCAAACTTGTGCTTTAACGTTTCTATAACGTATTTTTATATTGAGGTTAGAATAGAAATTCATAGGGAATCCTTTTTGAGAAGGTAAAATACAAAGTTTGTTTTCAGGTATTCGCGCACGAGGTCTATCAGTGTTATTCGCTCTAAATTTCCAACTGATAGGCTAGATAGTAGCCAGCTAATCAACGGCTTCCACCGCCAACTCGTGGGCTACTCTAATAGAATATTGAGATTTGATTCCCACTCTTATAAAGAACAAATGGCTTAAGGTACGGAACGCGATTTTTAATAATTATGTTTTTTTTTGCGGTAAAAGGACGCGAGCTATAAACCTAGAACCACAACCACGTTCTGTTTTTATGAACTAACGACTTTAAGAAATGAAAGGTTAGTTTTATGAATATCACAGGGGATTATTTTTCTTGTTATAAATCACCCAAAATGCTCTGTGTTTTCTTAAAAAACGCACATTAATTTCGCCTGTATTACTATTACATTTTGATCATAAAACAGCTTGAGTTTCAGTAGGAACTGAGTTTATTTAGAAAACACCTTTGTTGGAAGGTCCTGCTAGTGAATTTCATCGTGCAGAAATGACAAAACTACTAAAGCTATATGCTAACGTCCCTAATTTTGAAGGGAAGGCGACAGGCCGGTAGCATCCACAGTCGACTTCTGCTAACCTTTACTAAGGACTAATGGAACTGATCGTCACGGTATGAACGTTATTAAGGACGAACATATTCGATGTCGAGTTTCGGTCCCGTCCCCGCATAGTGCGATTCGAGCGCCCTAATCACCATGCCATGCCCGTTATCTTTATATTCGTCCTTCGAAAAATATTAAATTTAATCATATTGTATATATATTTTTCTTTCTAAAAACACACAAGTAGGACACGAAAAGTGTTAAATATAATGTATTTGTAAATATATTTGATTCAACAAATTTCATATATTCATAATATTGTATATTACATCAATTTTATGAAAGCACGATGAAGATGACACACGTTCTCATTTCAGTTTTTTTTTGTAATAAATATTTTAGTAAGCGATTGTATTATTTTAAAACTCAGAAAGGAAGCTACTGTTTGTACACGTTACAAGCATCACACTAGATAGCAAGGGCCTAGCCTTTCCAAATGATTAGCCTGCCGGATTGTGGACCTTATTTGTGGTACGCACTCTGTTTCCGCATAAAAATTATATATATATATATATATATATATATAATAATAATAATAATAATAAT